AGAGGAGGCTGCAGCTGCACAGCTGCAGTGCAGAGGACACAAAGACTCTACCTGCAGGCCGGATTCCCATGTGCTGCTGACCATCCAACACAAAGCTTCCCATCGGCTGACCCTCTGGACTATATGCTGCTCCTTGGCTCACTGAAGGATCAAGAAGAAAACCTGATTGTAGTCAATCGTGGACACAGAGGAGAAAGAAGAGAAGACACACCAAACAATCAGCAATTGTTCCAGCTTCAGCACTGAAACGCTATATACAATATCTTGGCTGTCACTTTAAACTCAGGTTGTGCTTTTTATGAGCTGATTATGTTACCAGGACTATAGAATAAAAATGCTATAGGGGGCCCAATAAACAAGTTTGTCAAGTTAGTTCACTTGCTTAGGATCTGTTTCTCTACTTACCTTTAATGCAAAACAGCGGAAGCCCGTTGAAGTGCTATGTGTTTTTTCTTAACGAAGTAAGTACCTATTCTGTTCCTCTCTAATTACACCAAGTTGTGAATCTGGCATTTGTGACATAGAGTATTTACGATGAAACTTAACAAAACTTATAAAACTACTCTCACCTACTCTAGAAAGAGTAGGGAAATTCTGGATGTGGCTTTTCCTATTTATGTATACACTGCATTTGGCTAAACGTTTTGCATGGTTAGTTGAGTTAGTGTTTTCCCCCTTTTTACCTGTTAATGAAAAAGAAATTTAATGCTACATGGGAAGAGTTTCCCAAAGGTTTAATAACCTTTTCAAAAACCTTTAAAGTGAAGCAGCAGGCGAAATCACCATCAAGTTAAAGCCCTTGTTAGTGACAACAGTCATCACCACATGGAGAACAGTTTTATCCCATAACCTAATGTTAGGAAACCACAACTCCCTCGTATGCTGAGGAAATGCATATTAGAAAGTGGAATGATTAACATGGTACCAGTTGTTGTATAAAGTGTTACATATTCTAAATGCTTTAATAGAAATGCAGAAAAGGTATTGTTATAAAAATCATGTTTCACTGGGAGCATATCTGGTGCATTCTTAAACAAAAGTAATAATCTTTTAATATTTTTTGGCAGTATGGTACCATGCCACATTAGTAGCATATTGTGAATAGTCAAAGCAAATGAATGGATACAATGAGTTTTACAGCTCGCCTTCCAGAAGTAAAAGCAATGCATACACCAAGGAGTTGTGGGTAGCAAGAAAATGAGATTGTCCTGCTGATTGGATGCAGACAAGCAATGAGTAATTCAAGAGCTCACAGTCAAACAAACTGCTTGTGGCACTACTACTTGTACCCAATTACCAATTCAGAGAGAAAATAAAAAGCAGTTTCAGTAGAGTCAGGGTGGGAAATCTCCAATTAGCACCAATTAGTGAAGTTGCTTCCTACAGCGGAATTCTGGGGACATAAGAAAAAAAAATAATCTCCCAGAATGCCTGGTTGAAGCATTTATTTACCAGGTGATGGGACTCCTGAAGAATAACTTGATGAGGATTTGCGCCTGTGGGACTTGAATACAGATACTACTTGGAACTTGCCTGCTCGATTTGACTGGTCAATCATAGGCTGTACTATTCTTCTTCTGGCATTAATAAACCTGCAACAGAATACAAAGAATAGAAGTCCTTTCATCAGCTTGCTTCTCTGTTTTGAGAACACCTCTGCTTTAAAAGTGACAGGATTTTAGCGTGCTGTGGAAATGTGTTTTGCTTCACGTTGCTTTTTAAAAAGAGTATAATTTCACTTTAAAGGATTTTCCTCTAAGTGCTCAGAAATTGTAACTGGTAACACGCTTATCTTACTAGCCAGCTTAAAGCTGGATTTGCCAGAAGGCTTTGAACGAGTAAATGCGACCGAAAACTTGTGTTAAAAGACAATTGTTTCTTTAACTTCTTCTAAGTGGCTCAGATCCTGGTTAAAGTTCACAGGCTGGGAGACTTTCTTTTCCCCTTTCCATCTTAGGGATCCAGCTCTCCTTGCAGCTGGCCATAAATGAGGACCAGGCTTTGCCACTCCGTGCTTTCACAAGGTATCGTTAGGTCAGCAAAGCCATCAATTAGGCTGTCTGAAGTTTTATCACCAGCGCAGCAGCAATAAGTGCCGGCCCAGAAAGACTTCTGCTCTTCTACAACTCCTGCAGTTGGAGCCTGTAAAGGCAAGGGTCGTTTGGAGGTCAGTGCCAGCTGGGGGCCACCTCTGTGTCCAAGCGGGGACACCCCGTGCAAGGCGACCGCCTGCCTGCCCTCAACTCAGGCACCTTTCAACTCGTTAGAAACCCCCAGTCACAGGTACATGTGGTTAATATTAGGCCCAAAATATCCTTTTTTTAATCTCAAACTGGGGTGGTTGCCGAGGCTTTTGAGCACTGGTAAAGGCAGTTAGTTGGCTGCAGAGCCTGGATTTAATTTTGCTTGTAATCCAAAAATAAGTGCTTGCATATTTCTTATTAGCTAATGCACAGCAATGCACATCAGCACAAGCTAAGCTAAATTAATTTCCCTAAAATAATTTCAAAACTTGCCTATTCACAAAGTATTTTTGAAAACAGGGCAATTTTCTATCACTCGGGAGCCACACTTGTTTTTGTCCCTTCTCTTTGTGTTTGAGAACACTTTGGAGCCTTCGTGCAGGTTTTGTGTGCTATTTCACAGCTCGGGCTTTCGCCTGGTGACCCTTAAGGAGTGCTAATGAAGTCGAATACTAGCGTTTAATCCTCTTCAGAAATACTAACATGCCCATCATCCAAAACAGCCTCCAATAATTGCCATTGGGCCCGATCCAACGCCTAGCAAAGTCTTTCAGTCAGCTAACTGAAAACTAAGTTCATCTGCTCATTTAGTAAATTGCTAGCCTTTATATAGCATCAACTCTGCAAGGCCTTTTGTCATGCTTCCCTCACTCCCTCCCACCCTCTGGTTAAATTCCTTCGCAGATAATAAAGGACGGTGGCACACCTTCGATTGCATCTTCTGTAATCACAGTGGTGGAAATTTCATTAGACAGATGCATAAATGCTACAAGTAACACTAAAGGGCTCTTTAGCATCTCTCTGTTTACATCCAAAAGATATTCTTTATTCTTTGGGAAAAGTACCATTCAGTTGTCAGAAATGTCATCCTGCCTCAGAATTAGTCATGACTTCAGCTATTAAAATAAAAACTCAGACACAGTCAATATATTTGTTTATTCCCTTCTGACTGCGGCACTGTGAAGGCATCACTGCCAGTTCTGTGATTTTGAAGTGTGTTTCCGTCCTCAGAGACAAAGGTCCCCGATAGGACTTATTTGCTGAGTTACTTTCCAGTAACGTTGCTGTGCTGACCAAATGGAGCCTGACCTGAACCTCCTCCATCCAGCACGCCTTTTATCAGCTAAAGTTAAGGCCAATAGAGATTAACAGGAAAGCCTGATAAGACTGTTTTCTCTTCTCCTATGAGCTTCTAATGGTGTATACAGATGGCAAGGTTTTAAAGAATGGAATGAACACTTATTTAGGCCTGTAAAAAATCACAGAAACACCCCCACACACACGCACACACTTTCCATCTTACTAACCCCTTTTCTTCAATCAGGCCAGTCTTCAGGAAAACCAAATTGCTCTTTCGGTTTTTTTTTATTTAAACCCCAACCACTTTTATTATTTACATCTGGTGGTCCCCTTATTTATGTCCCTCTTCACTTCCCTGCATATACACCCCTGCTCACAGGGCTGCGAAGCATTATGGGCCTCGGCTCTCAGCAGGAGAACTCCACACTGTCTTCAAACAAATAATTAAGGGGAAGGTTAAAGGTTCACCCAGAGGTCATATCTTTGGATACTCCTCAGAAAGTTTACATTAGTAAGAAATGGGTGCCCTCTGAAGTGTTCTTTCAATGGGCTCCCACAACAAGGCAGAGCATTAAGAAAATTCTACATCCTTAAGGGTTTCAGGTAACATCTGCTTTACCTCTGAGCACAGAGATTGGGATACTGTGCTCCAGCCTTATATATTCGATAGCCTCCACAGAATAAGCCTTTGGGACGGGTGTTGAAAACCCCATCTTGCCCAGCCATTTACTCCCAGAGGAGCAAGGCCTTATTTTATCCTGCTGATGTGAATAAAGCCAGTCTTTCACTGCAAACTCTACCTAGAAGCAATTCTCTAGTTGTTTTGGAAATGGGAGTTCAAGCCCTAAAAGAGAGTACTCCGTATTTGTTTTCCTAAAAAAAAAAAAAAAAAAAAAAAAAGAAGTAAAAAAAGTGATACAATTTGTCCAATTAAAACTTGTGAAAAATAGCTCCTGGGTTTGATTTCTGATTTCATTATTTCTCCAGTTTTCTTTTNGCCCGGGGAGTGTGCCCGGGGAGTGTGCCCAGGGAGTGTGCCTGAGGAGTGTGCCCGGGGAGTGTGCCCGGGGAGTGTGTCTGGGGAGTGTGCCTTGGGAGTGTGCCTCGGGAGTGTGCCCGGGGAGTGTGTCTGGGGAGTGTGCCTCGGGAGTGTGCCTCGGGACTGTGCCCGGGGAGTGTGCCCAGGGAGTGTGCCTGAGGAGTGTGTCTGGCGAGTGTGCCCGGGGAGTGTGCCTGGGGAGTGTGTCTGGGGAGTGTGCCTGGCGAGTGTGCCCAGGGAATGTGCCTGGCGAGTGTGCCTGGAGAGTGTGTCTGGCGCGTGTGCCCGGGGAGTGTGCCTGGGGAGCGCCGCTCCGCGCACGCCACTGCCGCGGGTGGGCACAGTTTTCCGCACGAGCTTCCAGCAAACCTCAACCTAATTGGAAAAGTATCATCCCGTATTCCCCCTTGGCTCCTGGTGGGAAACGAGCGCCTTTTGGTGCATGCCACCTGAAACCACAGAACACATGCCGGAGGAGGCTGTTTCTCTTTTGACAGTGCCGTCAGCTTGCTCATATATGTTTTTTTTTTTACCACGCACCGTAAAAATGATCTTTTAAAGATACTTGAAAGGAAGGGAGGAGACAAACAGACATACTTCCTTAGCTATTCATATCTTACAGATAAAATGTGAAGTCAGTAGACACAAGCCGTAGCATTTAACCTCATCCTGTGCTTGATTTATTGCAGATGGGAATCAACTAGAAACTGAATCACTTTGAAATTTTTACTACTGACGTTAAAATTCCATGTTTGTATACATACATCTTGTGGAGATGCTAAATACAATTTTAGCTAATTTGGCATGCACTTTGATTTGCTAGCGTTTAGAAACTCATGTTAAAGGTAGAAAACAAATCTCCTCTAAAATCTTAAGTAACTCATGCATTTAAAGATGTGTTAATTTGTCATCTTAAACTCCTAGGAAAAGATTTTCAAAACTAATTAGACTCCAACAGTGTTGAGAACACAATCAGGAGTTGAAGTACCTCATTTTAGGTAACTTTAAAAAAAAACCCAAGCAAACTGTAGTTTTTGAATAATATCACATTCAAGTACTTCACATCTATTTTAAAACTTATCAATATTTAACATATTAATTTTTTAAAATAAATTCTAAATTGACTGAAAAGGAGAGTTGTCAACAAATTTAACATCTGTTTAACTTCCCTGATCAAATAAGATTAAGGCACTAATTCTCCCTTTTACATTTCCGTGGAAACTACCTAAGTAGCAACTTGCCAAAAATGCATAAAGGTGTTTAGCAATTATGTAGTGGGTATGTTTGAAGAGATCAAGGTGCACTCACATGTCCTGTGCTATGGGTATCTCTGATTAGCTTGTCATCTACTCTGAAGAAGATGTAGCCCAACTCTCCTATACTATGTAACAGGCCAGCTGTTAGCTGTCTGTCAAGCACCTAAAGTGGACAAGTAGTCCAGGAGCAAAAATGTCACTCCTTTGATCTGGCAAGGAGCAGCTGCTGATTTATAGAGTAGGACTTTGTTCTTCCGTTCTATTTTACTTTCTTTCCTAAGGCAGAACCACAAAATCCAGCAGAAAAAAAAAAAAAAAGTGCCATTCTCTGCAACATCAACAAGCTCTGACAACTGCAACAGGGTTTTTCTTGGCCCTAACAAAGCTCTCAGGCATCTCCTTTGACGCTCACCTTTTTTTTCCTTCTTCTTTTTGCAATGCGGTAGTTATTGTTTAATTCAGCTTCTGTAAATGGAATGGACTGTGGCCAGCAAGCCTGGGGCATAAACACACCTGTATGAAAGAAGCCTTATTGTAGCAACCATCTACAACCAACCTGCACATGCACTACCAGTTCGTGAGTTCAGAAGGAATGTTCCATTTTCCCTAAGAGTAAATTTTGCCTTAAGATAACTATTTTTTGTACCCACTGTCCTGTCTTGACCACGAAGTGTGTACACTTTTTCATTGTTATTAAAATCTGAAGGAAAAAATAAAGTGTATTTTTCTACCTGTCAGCCAGGGAATGTCAAGAAATTGGATCCAAAGAGCCCACTTAAAAAAAAATGAAAAAACCACAGCCAAAATATATTTATTGAAACACACTTCTGAAAGTTTGAAAACTAGGATCCTAAAGATGTCTGTTCTGTTTCAGACATAGTGATGCGCTTGCAAGCACCTCCAGCTTATACTGCTACAGATTCTCCTCAGAAAAAGCATTTGGTGGAACAAGAACTCAGTAAGAAATAGCATTT